GGAGTCCCCATCCCTGGAAATATTTAAAAGACGTGTAGATGAGGCGCTTAGGGACATGGTTTAGTGGGCATGGTGGTGTTGGGTCGACGGTTGGACTCGAATCTTGGAGGTCTTTTCCAACCTTAATGATTCTATGATTCTGTCACCTCTTAAAGGCACGTAAGTTAGCTTTATGTAAACACTGAATCCTGTGAATCTGCTCACCCTTTGGATGCATGAGGAATAAATAAATGTGGCCTTCATAGAACTCATGCTGATACCTACCTAGTTGTGTGTTTGGTGCAATAATGCATTGAAACTTCTTTCATGGCCAGTACTGTGGCCTTAATTTCAGCAATGCTGTTGAGAGTCTGTTCCCGACAATAGCTGCAACTTTTAACTGCAAGCTGGTGACTATCCTTAGAAAAACCTGGATGACTTTGGATGAGTAGGGAGATGTGGACAGGTAAAAGCTGCTCTGCCTGTGGCCTGAACTGAATGGATTTCGGGCTCTTCTGCTTGATAGCTGCAGCATTGGCAATAGTGTGGAAAAATGATGCGCTTGCTGGTCCAGCTCGGAGGTAGATTGTGCAGTCTTGGAGTAGAGGCAGAGAAAACGTCATGTGTCAGTGCCAGTAGTCTGTAATGTGGACTTGCCCTCCTTCGGGACCGCAAGTGTTTGTGAACGTTACTAGAAGAACAGACTAATAGGTGATTTGTACATATGTGCGAATACTCATTGCTTCAGCACAGTGACACTAAGCATGGGCTATAACTGGTAATAAGAGACCCATAACTAGAATTTTGTGTCAATTCAGGATCTAAGTTCTTGTATGTACTAATACAGAAAAGTCCTACTACTTGTAAGTAGCACTCACTGGCTTTGTTGTGATGTGTTTAAAGTGTACTAAACAGAATTTGAGCCACACACAAAACTATAGCTTTTCATTTTCTTCAGATTTTCTGTATGTTACACAGTTGGTATTAGTTGACCTCCCTGACCTGTTGACAGCTATTGTTGTTGATGGTTTCTGCTCTTTCACTGTATTGTGAGTCTTGAAAGCCTGGGTTTGCTGTATGGAGCAACCCTGGAGACAGCAAGTGAGCTTCCTTAGTTGGAACACCCAGCCAACATAGCTTCAGCTGGTCTTAGTGGGGTTTTGTATTTGTTACTGTGTTTGGGTTTTTTCTCCACATACAAATACTTAACTTCCCAGTGAAGGCCCTGGGATAATCTTTGTAATACAGATAGTATTGTAGAGATCGAAACACATTTCAGTGTTTCCCCAGCTAGTCAATTTAGGCCTTGTGTTAGTCATAACTAGCTAGTTGTTTGGATCCTGGAGAGCAGGTGTCCTGTAAAATCAGCTTAGGTTGAATACAGGAGATCTTAGACACCTGAAGTGTCTGCATACAGTCATCTGGACTCAGCAGACTTGTATGATGAAATCAGCATCATACAGGGCACTTTCACCCATTTATTTTAGAGAGCTGGCTCAATGTGGAGTTCACCTTCAGTGTAGTTTCCTAGCTACGGTTTTGTGCTGTGGTGTGTTTGGGTTGGTTTTTTTTTTGGGGGGTGATGGTGTGTGTGTGGTTGGTTGGTTGGTTTGTATGTTTTGGGGTTTTTTAAACAGATTTATTTCCAGATAATCTGGACTTAAAAAAACAGTATGTTGGTGTTGTACCTCTCTGCTTGTCAGCTGGTATGTGCTGTTGAATACGAGCTGGCTTTATATTATGTTACAGGTTGTCTGTATTTTTGGATTAGAAAACTACAATAACTGAGAATATCTGGCATTATGGTCTAACTAAATCCTGTTTTAAGCCTAGCAGGAAAAAAAAATCAAGATATTTGTCATTACTATAGATACCAATATAAAACAGCTTTTAATACTGAACTGTTTTATTTGTATTTTCATATAATTTGAATCACCTGTGTTCACTCACTCTTTAATAGTTCATCATACGTTTGTTGGTGCTGGGGAAAAGAATGACAATGGCATGCAAATATTGTGGGTGGCTGCCATGCAATCTTGTTGCACTGATCACATGCCTTTCATTCCAGAGCTGGTAAATTTGTGACCAAGAGCAACTGATTTAAGGAGGGGGGGAAAAGTATACGCTTACATAGTGCTCTGTATAACTGGTATGTAGGTGCACGTCAGAAAATGTAAGTCTGAAAAGGTATCTTGCAAGAAAACAATAAATCTGACAATAACTTCAAAATCTCTGCAGATTGGTTAAAGGTCACTTTGCGTAATACAGAAGTGGATGAGTGGAAGAAAAAAAGGGACTTTCCTAAGTTCTTGATATTTTTGAGCAAGAATAGCAAGCCCTCAAGACTTTTTTTTTTAATAGGAATTGCTACTTTTACATGAAAAGCTGCTGAAGTTGGCATAACATTGATCTCTTGTTGTAAATTTTCATTTCTATGTATAAATTTGATAACATGAAGTGAAATTTGCAAATTATGTCTATATCCCTTCATAGTAAAAGTCTTTATCAGTGACGAAGCGGTATTGACGTGCTTTAATGTCGTTGTTCCGGTTAACTTTGGTTAGCTTCTGAAAGATGGAGTGACCACTGTCTCACAGAATGCTTTTGTTGGCAAGCATTACATGTAAGCAAGCACACGTGAATATAATTCACGTGAAAGCAAGACTATGTATATAAAAGTAGACCTAGGTGAGCATACAGTCACAGGCAGTGTTTTTGAAGAAGTATTTTAGTTGCCATTGCTAGCAACTCTATACTCTCTATATACACAGCAGAATTTCCAGTTGAAGCCACAATTCTTGCTTTTTAGATAATTACCTGTAAAAGCTTGATGCAAATATAACAATTGTTTTTCTTTTTTGCAGTGACTTCTGTACTTTAGCATCTATCAAAGTGCATAACATAGTAGTGATGATGCAGTAAGTATGGAAACTTCCTATTTGTTGGAAACAACTTTAAAAGCCATATAATTCTCTTTGAAATATTACTCAGAAATAGTTAATTCTGGAGTCTGTGCATCATAGATAAAATGAAATCAACTTGCTTTCTAGCGTAGTAGCTTCATAGTTCTTGAAACTGAACTGTGTCTTTTGACAGGTTCTAGTAGTGTAAGGACACCTGAATAGGTGGAACTGTTACTACTGTATCTGCTCTGCAGTTGGGCTGTAGCCATGGAGCTACTAAGGTCTCATAGTTTGAAATGAGTTTGTATATCAGCCACTGTTAAAAAAAATTGCTGAGATCTTCATGATCTTCAAGTGGTTACAGGCTTCTGGTACTCTGCCAGAGCCTGCTTTTCGTGGCTGCGTAAATAGCAGCATGGTGGGGTGTTTGGGTTTTGGAGGAGGGGGAAGGTGTAGACCGACTGTGGATGTAGCTTCTCGAATCATCATTTGCTTTCTCCCTGCAAAGCAAGGTATTAATGAGTAAACCTCAGCTTTACCATCATCTTTAGGAAAAAAAGTCTGTGCTCAGGAAAGCAAGTGTCTTTCATGGAGAAAATCTGAAGTGGTAAACTAGTATTGTTTTAACTTTATTTAAAACTTTCTTCTTAATAATATTATGTATTTTGTTCCAGAACTTCTTCCTTAAAAACCCTAGTAACGTAGAAACACTCATCCCTAGAATAGGGAACTGAAGTCCCTTACAAAACAAATCTCTTCTGTTTTTGTCTTTTTAAGAGTGACGGTGACAACCTCTTACTTTGGCCACTCTGAGCAAATATCCCAGGAGAGATACCAGTATGTGGACTGTGGAGGAAACACAACCTACCAGCTGGGCCAGTCAGAATATTTAAATGTACTTCAGCCTCCGCAATAAAAGCACCTGTTGGTTAGTGTGGAATGACTGCTGTTGATGCTTGCAGAGATCCTTTGAATAGGACTTGTACTATGTGGAGAGTATGTGCATGTAAAGCGTAGCGAACGTGGTGACCTGTTCACTTTAGATGCAAGGAGGGAAAAGGTGCAAAATGTATATAGATGCACTTGTTAAATGTTGTGTTTTCCCCTTCTGTTTGCTTTCTATTACTGTAAGCACTTCTGTCGAGTTGTGTGGTGGGAGGGAGAGGGGGAATATCAGATTCTTGAACTGAATTGGGACCTTTCCTTACAGTGTGGCACATCACTTAGAGTAACTGTGTGTATGTCTGTGTTTAGGTGAAATGTGAGCATTTTAGAAAAATTGATACTCATAAATTTTAAGTTTATACTTCAGTTCTTGATATTTGACTATTGAAACTGACAGTATTACTACTTAAGTAACAAGATTACTTTGAGGTATCTGGGTGTGAAACTTCTCTTAGTAAACCAATGCTGATAGTTCTTTATTTTGGGATTCTACTTTTTATTTGCTATACGTGATTAGAGGTGACATGCAGTCTGTGAAAGCCAGGGAAGCTCTCTTGGATGACACTATACTTGAATGTTCAACTTCTAGAATCTGGCATCTTTTGATTCATATTCCCTCCTGCTACCTCTGCGATGTTATAAGGAGAATGTATGTTGTTAGATTTAAAGTTGGGTTTAAAAACAAAACAAAAACCAACCCCTAGAATCATTACTGACAAAGGAAAAATTTAAGACTGTTGAAAATGAATGGGTAAAGACTCTGATGGCGTCATTCTACTTTGTTTTTTAGTAAACTTTTGAGTACAGCTATTAGAATCAAGATTGTGCAGTTGGAACTAGGTGGGGAAACTGTTCGAGCATGGGTTTGGGCAGCTTGATGTAAATTTTCATCATTTTTGTTTTAATGTACTGTGTATCTAAGCTACTTGTAAGTGTTAATATGTTGGGGCGTGTATATTTAGTGTGCAGGCTCAATAAGCAGTGCAGTAGTTATCTGAATCTCCAGAGCACGCACAGTTCACATCAAAGTTATGTAAGGGAGAATAAAGCAATTCTTTCTCTGAGACTAAATGCCGATGTAATCATGCGACTGACTTATAACAAAGCTGTTAAATAGTTTCAGCAGGATAGTTTGCACAGTGAGAATTTCTGGGGTTATTATCAAACATGGTGATTGTAACTTTTGGGTCCAAAGTTGCCTGACTTCTGAAGGCTGACTGTTCTGAGGGTTAGGTACAAAACTTTTTAATTAACTAGATTAGGATTGTTTTATTTCTGAATTAGATAAGATGCAGCTGTAAGAAGGTATTATTGAGACTGTTGCATTGTAATGAATAATATATTTTTTAAAATAGATGTTGCAGTTTTTATGCTGCCCATCTCCTGGAAATAAGCTATATAAAATGAATTAGCAATAAACACTATGGAAAAAGGCTGCTGAGTAACTTCTTGCAACTAACAATCTCTTATGCTCCAGTACTTCAGTGAAGGTACATGTCTTTATTACTCTTTTCTTTATCAGCCTTTCTTAGGTGGACCTAATTGGGTGGGTGGGGGAAAGAATGTTGATGATGTAAGACTGATTTAAAAGAAATTAAGTAACCATAAAAAACCTTCCTCTGTTTGAATGCTATGTTTGAATTACTCAATGTCTATGAAAAACTTTGGAACTTAAACTGTCAGTTTCATGTAATTGTTGGTAAGATGAAGATGTCAGCTTTTGGCTTTGGAGGACTTCTGGAACTGGAATAGTCAATTCTGACGACTTACTGTAGTTACATTCTGAAAATTATTCTTGAATCTGGGTACTTAAAAGTAAACATTCTTTATTACAGCTTACAATCATAAGAGAAACTAATTCACAGTTGACTCTAATCTTCCTAGAGTATAGATGAGGTTCAGTCCTGTGGCTGATAAAATGCACGCAGAAGCTTGTCTGATGGTCTGAGTGTATATATAGGTGATAACTAAAGACCAGGATAGTGGGGAGCTGATTAGAAGCAGAAAGGTAAACTCTACTATGTTACCTGTTGTGGAAAGACTTGTTTATATTGGAGGGTAGGGAGAGAATTCTGATTTAAACCATGTCAGACCTGAAGTCACCCAGCAAGTGATATGGGTTTTTTCTTCTAGGCCTAAGTATTTACACTTAGAGTGTTGGTTTTGTTTGTTTTGGGTTTGTTGTGTTTTGTTTGTTCTTTTTCAACTTAAAAAAACCCCCCAAAACAAGAAAACTGCTCTAGGCAGGTATTTATATCAATTTAAAACAAATTTTTCTTCAAAGGATAAAAGGTAATCTAAAATAACTGGAATGGCACAGTGATAAAATTATTTGGTGACAGTAGCGAATGCTGCTTGAACAAGCGTGGCGGGGGGAGGTTACACTGTTTATGCAGCATTGAGACTCGGACTGACCTTTGAAAGTTTGGTAGACATGCTGAACAAAATACGTACTTAAATCTCTGGACCTTATGTTGCATGAAATTCTTGGTATTGGCTAATTTAAAATAATTATGAGTGGAATTATTCTTTCCGTGAATGTGGCAGAAGGGGGAAGATACAACTCTTATTTTTGATGTCTGTCATCTGGGATATGTAATGGATGTAGACTTACTGAATGACTAAGAGTTCTCACCTTAAAAATAAAGGCTGGAGTAAAGATCCTATTGAAAAATCCTCAAGTGAAGTCAGTTACAGGAAAATCAAAAGCTTAAGGTTCCACGTGTACTAGTATGTCCTTGCGAAACTGTCAGCATATTACTAACCAAACAAGGCAAGATTTTGAACTTACCTGCTTATCTGAAGAGATGGTATATTAAAATTAATAGTTAAGACATCTGTTTGAATACTTAACTTAGACTTGATTTTCTGTGGCTGAGCTTGGAAACATGCTAAGGGAGCAAAGGAAGTCAGTATTAACTCATATAACTTTGTAAACAAGCTATGAGAATAGATCCGAGTGACAGACCTGTAATTATTTCACATTTATTTTTTATCTTATTTTAAAATAAAAAAGGCAGGCCTTTCAGTTCCTTGTAAATCAGTAAGTACAAATTCTCTCCGGAAGGTCAACTTGAAGAATCGTAATCTTTTTTCTGGTTTGTTTTCCTGTGTGTAAGATGTTTTCTGAAGTGATTCGTATTCCACTTGTAGCTTCCCCATAATCTTCGAATACTATTAAATACATACATACTGGCATTGTAGCGTTGTGTTTCAAGGGGTTTATTTCTAGTATAATTCTTTTCACTTGAATGTTTTGCAGCAATTCCTGTACCAAAACCTGTTGCGCTTTAAAATGGAAGCTCTGTTAGTTATCTCTTAAAACAGTGGTCCAGATGTTGCACTGTAATGGCACCATTGAAAAACAAAACTTAAGGTATTCTGTATAGAATAACTGTAAAATTTCAAAATTATAACCTAAGATAAATTCATATGGAACACTTAAATGAGTAAAAATGTTGGCTATTTGGCCATTCTGACCTGGAGAACAAAATTACTTTACGTTTTAAATATGATGCTTTAAAAATGAATGAATAAAGCCACCAAACAAACTCAAAGATCTAACCATCAAATATCCATTTGGAGAGATTTAAAGGGAAGCGCTCTTACTAAAAGATGTAGTACCTGACACTTTCTCTTGAATTCCTGGTGTGGGAAAAAGCCTGTAGAAGCTCAGTCATAATCTGTTTACTCATCTTGATATTTAGGGGATAGTTGCTTAATTCTTAATGTTTCATGAAGGCAAGCATAACTATCTTTTTCCTGTGTGGTATAGCTTTGAAGTTCTCAATGCGCTTCTGATGCGTGCATGACCTTGATATTAACATTGTGGTGTTTATATTTTGCAGCCTTATGTTGGCAGACTTAAGTACATGCCTTAGTTGACTTTGCTCCAAATTGTCCTTGAAGTTCTGCAAGTGAATAAGTTGTTGTTGTTTTTTTTTTTATAGTAGTACATTGCAAACATGACTCTGGGCTTTTTAGTGTGTGGTGTATAAAGCTAACCATTTAAGCACTGAGTCTCTCAGTGCTTGGATTGAACTGTTAAGGTCTTTAACCATCTGACTGAAGTGTTGTGCCCTCATGATGGAAAGGATGGTGCTTGGAGTAGTATGAGAGAGATTTTTAGATTCAGAAAATGTTAAAAGAAAAATAGCGTTATTTCTTATTCAGTACTTAAGGCTTCCTTTTTTTGTGGTGGTGATGGGGGAGTTAGTTGTGGTTTTGTTTTTCTTCCCACCCCCCAAACCGGTAGTGGGACATCTATCTGTTCCCAGACAGCATCTTCTGAAATGGGTGACTTGTTTCAGAGTTGGGCAGCTACGTGAAGCTTAACATCAGTTGGGCTGGACTTCAAGAGTTAAGAGATAAGTAAGACTAGCAGTAATACCTCTAAGAACTAAATTTTTTACTTGCCTGTCTAACAAAATGCCACAACCCTAGCAATGCTTCCAGGCTTACTGTTACTTCTGAAAGGGAAGGATGAGTAATGTAAGTGCAACCAATGTACTTCAATAACGGACTACTGCAACCAGCAAAACATTTATTAGTGTTGGCCCTGGTTGTGCCAAAAAGTCCAGATTGGGGTTTTTTTGTTTGTTGGGGTGGGGGGGGGAGGAATAAAACCCAAGCCAAAACCCAACCAAAGCATGTTGAAAACAGTAATTTGTGTATCGCAAAAACATCCAGTGTTTGTCTACTTGAGAAGTCACCTTCCTATTTTACCTTTAGCTGGGGAATTCTGGTCATTACCAGAGGGGTAGTTTGGGGTAGTTTGTTCTGCTGCCCTACAGCTTTTGCCGTGTAAACCTGCTCTTCTGCCTGTAGGCAGGCCTGACAGGAACGGTTGTCTGCAGGGAATCTGTACAATTAAAGTTAGTGTCAGGCCCTACAGCGTAGTGTGAGACTGTTCGGTGGCAGTAACATACTGATCCTCATACTGTCCTCTTCCACCAACCATCATAACGGTCTTACAACCTGGATGCATGTGTCTTTTGGGTACTGAAACTGCTTTTGCTTTGTATGGGCAGGGATATTTAGCACCAGACATGCAAGTATATTACGGTGCCTGAATATTTTGGGTCTGACTGTCAGTGATTTAGTTCTTTTTTTGTTTTGTTTAAGGAAGCAAACTTAACCACTGTTAACATCCACTGTACAGAGTGTGCATATAATAGCTTGAGATATGTATAGAAATACTAATGAGTGATACCTATTTTTGTAACAAGAATTGTAAACTGTTGTTCTTGTAACTGTGTAGCAAACAATCTATCAACTTAAGCATGATAAACACTTGAAGTCAAGGCGTATTTGGGAGTGACTTGCAGGACACAGAAGCTATCTTCATGTAAGTTAACTGGGACAAAGGATCTTGTTATTTAGAGGTTCAACACCTGGAATTAACTTCATTATGAATATGTTTCTAGGCAGGATTGTTTGACTCAAAGAATGATATTAAATTTTCTATTAAAAAAAGCTTGGGTCATGTATCTTTTTTTTTTAAACTGACTTAATACTTTTCTCTCCTCCTTCCCTATCTCCCACAAGTTTTCTCCCTATCTCCCTGTATTTTTCCCACAAGCTTTCAGGTATTTTCAATGGTATGATTTCAATTTTTGTAACTATTGGCATTCCATGGTGTGAAAACTTTGCAATCTACTTTTTTTTATACTATGTTTTATTGTGTTAAGTCTCTAATAAACTGGAGTATCTGAAAGCGAAGCACCGAATGTGAATGAATTACTCTTGTCTGACTGGACTACTACTGTAACTGAGTTAAAAACCTGGGCTGTTGTGGTGGGTTAACCCCAGCCGGCAGGTGAGCCCCCACCCAGTTGCTCATACACTCTTCCCCCTGGTGGGATGGTGGAGAGAATCAGAAGGACAAAAGCAGGAAAACTCATGGGTCAGGGTGGACAGTTCAATAGAGGAAGCAAAGGTGTGTGCACAGCAAAGCAAAATAAGGAATTCATTTCCTATCAACAGGCAGGTGTTTACAATGGGAAGACAAACACCATAACCCCAAATGTCCCTCCTTCCTCCTCCTTTCCCCGAGCTTTTGTTGCTGAGCATGGTCCCGTATGGAATATCCCTTTGGTCAGCTGGGGGCATCTGTCCTGGCTGTGTCCCCTCCCAGCTTCTTGACCACCCCCAGCCTACTCACTGCAGGGTTGGGCAGAGTGGGGGAAAAAGAGGAGGCGGCAATGAAAAACGAAGCCTCTGTGCTGTGTGAGCACTGCTCAGCGTTAGCCAGAACACTGGTGTGTTACAACACTGTTTTAGCCACAAACCCAAAACACAGAACTGCATGGGGTGCTATGGAGGAAATGAACTCCATCCCAGCCAGACCCAGTACAGCTATTTACAAAGTTATTTTAAGGAACCATTATTGCCTAAAAGCTTTAACCTTTAAAAGCTGGACAACAAAGAACATGGCTTTGAAACATTCAAAATGCCCGTGATGTTCAAATGTTACAGGTAGTCTTACACAGATGTTTTGGAACACCTTAGTGGGGGTTTTTTAAGGCTTCTCCTGGAGAAACCCATTGTATATTCACGACTGCTACATTGGTTTTCTGATATGGATAACTAATGCGGGTCTTAGTGTGTAGGGGGTTTTTTGGCTGTTTTGTTTCAGTTTGTGGATCTCTTTAAAAAGGCTTATATTTTTGTAAACTAAGTTTAGATGGGAAAATAACTACGGTCATGCTTGCTATTTTCTTTTTCATATAGTCCTTTTTCCTTCCCAGAGTTGTCATAACCATTGTCCAAACTTCCCACTTTGGACAAGTCCTTTACTGAACACTATAAATTGGAGAACAATAACCTTTAAGCAGTATTTTGCAATGTATAAATAAGAGCTTGAAGAGATGTGAAGAACTGGTTCTCTTTTGTTCTACCTGTCAGGGGACAGCAAGGCAAAACTATGTCTTTAGCAGTGAACAGTTTTATTTGATCCAAATACTTCCAACAACATGATTTGGATTCCTCTCCTGTTTTTTCCGTCCGGAGCAGGTAGGGGAGTACAAAGGCGAATTCATACCAGGCAAATTTCAAACACCACCTTGTCTGGCTGGAGAGTGTGAAGAAGATTAAAAGGGAGTACATTGACAGATGGGAATAGGGAAATGTGAATTTGGACAAATTTAAAGACCCAAAAATTGCTATTCCAGAATACCCAAAGTAGATGTTTTTGAGATCTATCTACTGAACGATCTGACATCTTAAAATGGCCTCATTTCAAAGACCTGACAATGACAGAAACTTCTGAAAGATTTTGGAAGCTTCCCTGGCGGGCTGTAGATTGCCTTCCTCTTACTTCTCAAATTTTCATACAGCTTTCTATGTAACTGAGCATGTACTTGGGATATGTTTTTGTGCTAATACGTTCACCTGAGAGGACTTCGGGTACACTAGTGATGAATGACACTAATTGCCTTCCAGTGTGAAGATGATGTCTATCTGGCAACTTAAGGAATACCAAATCACACATTTAATTTTGCTAGAAGTCTCTTGATGCCAGATGAGGTAAAGATCCCTCTACATTCTTGTTTTGATTTTTTTCCCCCTTTTTTTTCCCCCCCCTTCTCCTTCTCCAGGAATCCCTGCCTCCTAAGCCTGAGAGCTGAGATGCCTCCACTCGTGTTTCCTGTGTATGGGTAGCAGGTGCCACACAGTTTAATGAGCTGTCATGGGCGCTATGGAGTTGACCCTGCTCCATAATGGAGCTGATTTTTCATGAGCCAGTGAGTCACCTAATACAGTAAAACTAGAACTTGATTAAGGAGCTTCAGCATCACTGTAATTTAACATTTCACTGACTGCAGTTATGGATACCTGAAAGGTAATGATGTATATCGTTCTTGAGAGGTTTTTAGGAAGTAGTACTTCTAGCAGCCCTAGCAATATAGTTGAGGTTGAGAAATGAATGTAATTTGCCTTTGTCTGACTTTTCTTCTGACAATCATACCACAAGACTGTTGCTCTGGTACTGTTCAGAGGAGTGATACAAGCGTTACCTCAATAGATGGTAATAGCTAGAAAAACAAGAAGTAAAGACCTATGTTTTTAATGAGTTTTGGAGGCTTACCTTCTACTGGGATATATATTATTTCTTAAACATGAAGTCTGTCTTAAATAGCTTAGGTTTGGGGAATGTTAGCAGCTGTCTGCGTGGAGATCCATTTAAGCGATTGAATTCACCCACCATAAACTTGTGACTGAATTTTACATTCAATATGTTTAAACGTTCACATATCAGTGCAACTATTTCACTTTCCATGCTGACACGAAGTTTGTGAACTTTTCATCAAATATGCAAAGAAATGTTAAAATAAGCCTTAGAAGCCCAAAATATTGCTGCAGAATATAGATTCTAACTAATTAGATAACTATAGACTCGTACTGTCTACAACCACTTTTGCTTGTTGCCAATCCAGAGATGGGGCAGAGTTGCTGTTTCCACACCACTTTTAACATACTATGTGTCCTGACGTGCCTGACTTCCCTCTGAACGATTTATGATCGGGAGAGGATCCTGGCTTCTTTAGCCTCTCTACCACCCTGTGTGGCATGCCAGGATCCAGCTCTTCAGTACTGGTAAATATTCTCGGGGGTCCAGGACTGAAGTGTTGCCTTGTAGACTTTAGGTGGGCCAGCAGTGTTCGTGGAGGGACCCAGCAGATTTAAGCCACTCTTTGATTTCTGGAAGCAAATTAAGCAGTTGTGTAGACATACCCGGTGTCTGGCTCCTGCAGATGGCTACCAAGCTTGCCTTTCATTTGCCTTCACTAAAAATGCAAAAGAGTAGGACAGAAGGAAGCTGAGACTTAGAAAAAAATAAAATGTGCTAATCTTATGTTGCATGCTGACAACTACACTGTTTGATATGCTAATACTTGAAAAATCCTATTTAAACTGAAAGCTGGGCTTCTCAAACGTGGGAGGGATTCAATTTCCTTCTCAAAAGAGCAGTAGAAATGCTGAATACAACTGAAGGTTACTTAGTAACCTTGATGAGACCAGCTAAACCCAGGGTCCTTTATTTAAAAGACCCTCCCTGGCCCCTAAGACACCCCCCCAAAAAAAACCCCCAAACAAACAAACAAAAAAACCCCAAAACAAAAAAACCCCACCGCTATTATTGCCAATTTATTTGCAGATCTAACTGATTGCTACTTACAGTGCAGTCCGAGGCACCCTAGTTTTTATTCTGGTGCTGTTTAATCTTTTTTTTTTGCAGATGGAAAACTAACCTGCCAAGGTCGGCGTGCGCTGCTGCCTTCCCTCAATAGGTGGAGCCAGGAGCCTGCGGCATGTGCCGGTGGCAGCAGCCTCCGTAGCGAGGCGGGTGTAGTTCAAGCGATGCTTGAGGAGCTGAAGAGTGCTCCCTGAGGAAGGGAACCGGGTTAAAAGTGTGTTTCTGCTTCCCAGGCCTTCACCGCCCAGCCCGCCCCGGTATTTAAGTGCAACCAGAAGCAAAAATAACCTTTCAGAAAAGAGCAGGGCTGTCCCTGTTGAACTGTTCAGATGAAATGGATTTTTAATCTAATAAATCCAGTATACGGCTTTCATTCTGAACGTGTGAAATATTCCCATTCAGAGATCTATTTTGGATTTTAAAACGTAAGAGACCTGAGTATGTATTAACTGAGTAGCAGCGAGAATACAGTGTCGATGCTGAGACGTTTAATTCAGCGAAAGACCTTGAGCAACCCCTGTTTGTGTCTGTGTAGCTACTTAAAGCTTACCAAACTCAAAATCTGTTTGTCAGGTTTCAAATCCATTTTCTTGCTCTTCTTGTGATGGCCTGATAACCACAGTCTGCTTCGACGTTCAAGCTGAATTGTTTGGGGTTTTTTTTAATCCATTATTGCCCAGTTGTGCTGGGGCAATATGTCCCACTATGTTTGCTGTCTGCCTATGGTATACCAGCAGTGATTCAATGGTACTGATGATAGTCGTCTTCAGAAGACTGGAAAAACGCTGCAGAGAATTTTGCTGCCAAGGTATGCTGTTGGCTCATTCATACTCGGCTCACTGTCTGCCAGCACCCCAGGCCCTTTTCAGCACAGCTGCTCCCCAGCCCCATGGTGCTCAGGCTGTCTCGTTGCAGGGGTTGTTCTTTCCCAGGTGCAGGGCTTTGCATTTCTCCTTGTCAAATTTCATCAGATCCCTAGGACCCATCCCTCTAGCGTGTCCACCTCACTCTGACTGGTGGTCTTCCACTTGAGTGTATCAGCTAGTCCCTCCCAGTTTGGTGTCTTCTGCAAACTGGATGTGTGCATTGTCACCTTCTCAAGGTCACTGATATGGTTGTTAAACAGGACAGGTCCTAGTACAGACTCCTGACCCCAGTCAGAGTACTGCCCGTTAACCACTACCCTCTGAGCCCAATCATCCAGCCAGTTTTTAAACTGATTTAGCTGTCCACCTATCCAGAACATAATGTTCTTGCTTGGATACGAGAATATAGTGGGAGATGGTCTCGAAAGTCAAGCTAAAGTGGAGATAAATGACACCGACTGCTCTCTCTTCATTCCCAAATCCAGTCACGGTGGTCATGATATCCCCTTCATAAATCCGATCCGACTGCTCCCAGTCCACCCCCTCCTCCTTCCCATGAGTGTCTTCCAGGAGGACTTGCTCTGATTTTCCCAGTGAGACTGACTGGTATGTAGCTCCTGGATTTGCTTTTTGACCTTTGCTGAATGT